TCCTGATGTTGCATCTGCGTACTCACACCTTCGTCGTATTTCTTCATATTTACCATCCTTGATCCGAGCATCAAGGTTGAACTTTTGATTGGTCGAGATATAACTGAGATTCACCATGTGCATGAACAAATAACTGGAGATAAAGGAGAACCTTTTGCTCAAAGATTAGCATTAGGATGGGTGGTAATCGGAGAAGTGTGCTTGGGCAAAGTACATGCTCCAAACAAAATCAGTGTGCGTAAAACTCATGTTCTCAACGATGGACGATGCACCATGTTCCCTCTATGCGAGAACAACATAGAGATAAGTGATCTCAAAGATGACATTTTCGTCAGGACGACAAATGACAACAAAGTTGGACTTTCTGTTGAAGATAGACAACTTCTTAGTTTGATGGACACTGATTTTAGAAAGGATGACACTGGTCATTGGTCAGCGCGATTACCGTTCAAAAAACCAAAACCACCTATTCCAAACAACCGCTCACAAGCCTGGAAACGAGCATAGATACTTGACACTAGTTTACTTAAAAATCAAACGAAATGTGAATATTTCATGACATTTATGGAGAAAGTGTTGAACAGCGGTGCAGCAGAAATTGCACCTAAAGTTATTTCAGGAGAATGTTAGTATCTTCCGCTTTTCGGGGTTCATCATCATAAAAAACCAGACCAAACAAGGGAGTATTTGACTCGTCTGCAGAGTACGGAGACGTATCTTTAAATAATCTATTAATATCAGGACCAGATCTTACAAATAACCTTGTTGGAATTCTAATGCGTTTTCTTAAAAATGCCATTGCTATTACTGGAGACATTGAGCAAATGTTCTACCAGTTAAGAGTGTCAAGTCATCATAGAGACTTGTACCAGGATAATGACCTTTTGAAACATCTTATCGAATATCGTATGACATCACACGTGTTTGGTAACACACCTTCACCTGCTGTGGCTTCTTACGGCCTTCGACAAGCTGTCGCAACTTCCGATGAAGACGTGCGTTTATTCGTACGTAATGATTTTTATGTGGACGATGGTCTCACTTCATTCACTAACAAAGAACAAGCAATCAATCTTGTTAAGAAAACTCAAAACGATCTGAAGACAAATGGACATATAAGATTTCACAAGATTGTGGCGAACGATATTGACGTCATGAAAGCTTTTCCCAGTGATGATCTAGGCAAAGACTTGAAAAACTTGGACTTGTGTTCAGATATATTGCCTACGCAACAAAGTCTAGGTATAACATGGGATCTTCATTCCGATAATTTTGTGTTTCATGTAAATAACGATATCAAACCTATAACACGAAGAGGACTCCTATCTTCAATCAACAGTTTGTTTGACTCTTTGGGTTACGTATCACCTATTGTGATTAGCGGCAAAATTCTTCTTCGTGAAGTAGTTCCACATGGAACTGACTGGGATGAACAGTAAAGTTCTGAACATGCTGATAGATGGTACCTTTGGCTTGAGTCTTTGAGATCTCTTGGCAATTTTGAAATTCCATGAATGATTACTCCTGAATCAGTGTCGACAGCGCACCATCTTGAGATTAATATTTTTTGTGATGCTTCCGAACAAGCAATTTCTTCAGTAGCCTATTTGAAATCCGTTAATGAAACTGGAAATGCATCTTTAGGTTTTCTGATGGGAAAAGCAAAACTAACACCTCTGAAAGGTCACACTATTCCTAGATTGGAACTTTTGTGATGCTGTTCTTGTCGCCGAATTAGGTGAAGTCATATGCGACAACATAAAGCTTTTACCGGAGACTACACGGACAGTCAAGTTGTCCTAGGATATAATAGCAATACCAAAAGACGATTTTTCACTTACGTCACAAATCGTGTTGAAAAAATTCACAAAACGTCAAATCCGTCTCAGTGGTCCTACATATCAATTGATCAGAATCCAGCCGATGCCGGAACTAGATTCTCAAGCTCACAGATATGATTCTTGTTAAAAAATTGACAACAACACGTTTAATAATTTCATGCGTCCGAAGCGCTTTTCTGGATTTACCTTCATCAGGAACGCTCAAAGCCAAACATTTGAAATCCGAGGGATGTATAAGTACCGAAACAGTTGAAGAGCTATATGACAAAAATACATAAAACAAATAGCAAAATTCATCTAAGGTCAACTTTGACTGAGGGAGTTGAAATCTTAGTTTCTTTATAATTTCAAAATTTATAAACGAACAATTTTAGAAAGGTTTGTTATAAACCATGTCAGTACCGAAGTACTGACTACTGCGCTGATGATACCCTCGGGGACTGATAGTCCACCAGCAGAGGTATCGACCTAGTGACGTAAAAAATTGAAAACAACACGTTTAATAATTTCATGCGTCCGAAGCGCTTTTCTGGATTTACCTTCATCAGGAACGCTCAAAGCCAAACATTGGATAACAGGTCCGACTTATTTATTATCACATGATGTTATTGAAGACAATTCTTATCCGTTAGTAGCACCAACTGAGGATAAGAAAAATTTATTTCTTCCAATCCACGTTGCTTCGGTTTTAGAAAAATTAACTTTTAACCCTGAACACTTTTCAAAATCTTTAAAGGAATCCAATAAAATTTGCGCAGAAAATACATCTTTCAGTATCCAGTACTGGCATGAAAATACGGATATTGTTTGATTGAAATTTGTTGGATATATAACTCCCTCGTGCAAAGCTCTGATTACTGGTCCAAATTTGGCTGTTCTTTATCTAAGAAAACAGTTATTCAAAATCCAGAGATCGGTTGTCGACGTTTTGCGAATTTTTCGAGTTTGAAAGCTCTCATTAGGGTATTTTCGTTTTTTAAACATTTTGTACGAACTTGGAAATCAAAACGTTCTAGTCAAAAAGTGTCTGAAGACAAAGCTAATCCAAAATTTTAAAAGGAGACCGAAACATTTATTATTCGTCAGATTCAAAATGAGATTTTTGAAACGGAAATTTACAATTTGAACGAACACAAACCGATTTCAAAAGAACGCTCAATGTTGAAATTAGATCCGTTTGTTGATGAGCACGGAGTAGTTAGAGTAGGAGAAAGACTAAAACATTCAGATTTGACACTTCGTGAGAAACATCCGATACTTATTCCTGGTAGTCATCACTTCGCCAAACTTATCATCTTACATTATCACGAACAAATAAGACATCAAGGACGTTATTTAACGGAAGGCAGTATCAGAAGTGCAGGATTTTGGATAATTGGTCTAAACCGTTTAGTTAACACTGTTATATCCGAATGCATATTGTGTCGTAGATTTCGTGGCAATCTTATGACTCAGAAAATGTCTGATTTACCGGAGGAACGACTGAAATCGTGTCCACCTTTTACTTATGTTGGTGTGGATTGTTTTGGTCCGTGGGACATTGTGACTAGGCGAACTCGTGGAGGAAGCGTCAACTCTAAACGCTGGGCTGTCCTATTTTCATGTATGTCATCTAGAGCTGTACACATTGAAGTAATTGAAGAAATGAGCACCTCATCTTTTATCAATGCGCTACGACTGTTCATGTCATTAAGAGGTAAAGGAAAGGAATTCTTTTCCGACCGAGGGACAAATTTCGTTGGAGGAGCGAATGAACTTGGAGTTCCTGCAAAATGTATAGAAGACAAAACTTTGAAAACCTTTCTTAACGAAAAAGGTACTGTTTGGAAGTTCAACATCCCATATTCGTCACATATGGGAGGCTCGTGGGAACGACTCATAGGCATTGCTCGCCGCATAATTGACTCTATTCTTTATGATGCAAGACACAACGAAATAACGCATGAGTTTCTGTGCACCTTTATGGCGGAAACAACGGCCATCATGAACTCTCGTCCACTGATTCCAATTTCTGATTTACCGTGTGTTTTGTCGCCAAATGCTCTGCTAACTACCAAAACTGGTGACTGTGATGAAGACTTTAGTAATTTGAACACTCGTGATGTATACACTACTCAATGGAAATTCGTTTAAGTACTAGCTGAACAGTTTTGGACTCAGTGGCGGCGCGAGTACTTACAAACTTTACAATCTCGACGAAAGTGGCAACAAACTCAAGAGAACATTAAACAAGGCGATACTGTTATTCTCAAAGATGGTGATCAACACAGAAACTTTTGGCCAATAGGACTTATTAAACATATTTTTCCTAGTAAAGACAATCTAGTTAGGAAAGTGCTTGTGAGAACAATCAGAGATAGACAAGTTCGCGTACATGTGCGACCAATCACACAGACTGTTCTTTTGTGTAGCAATGCATTGTAAAAGACTGATATTATTGAGTTTTTGTCTGTAGCATTTTTGACATTAGTTAGTTAAACTAATTTTTGAGGGTTTATATTTATTGAATGTCATATTTTTCTTTTTTCTTTTTACGAATGGGGTGATATTTTCATATCAGACGGGGAGTGTGCTGTTTGTATTTCATGTTTATTATCATAAATTCATTTTTTAGAACTTTAATTTTTACTTTCATTTTACCTTCATTTTGATTGTACTTTCACTTTCACTTTAAAGTTACTTTCACTTTCACTTTCACTTTTGCTTTGTTGATATCCTGTTTCCTGTTATGAATTGTGAACCACAATGACATTGGACCAATGTTAAACTTTATCTAGCTGTAGCTTTATCATCCGTGTTTGACAAACCACTATGCAAGTTAAATATTTATTACTAAGGTTTATATTTTATATGTGCACATTCATTTTTGATGCAAATAAGTTAATTATGAAGTTCTAGAGCAAAGTATTTACATTCAGTTTTTTCTATGATATTTTGAGTAAGGAACCCCGTCTGAGCTATATTTTAAGCATTTGTCAAGTTTGAATATTTCTTAGACATTCATCTATTTAATTCGATATTGAGGTTGTTAAATACTATTTTTTGTATCTACTACACTTGCTCAACTTTGTCAATTTGAAGGGAGAAATTACACATTTATTGTTGTATTTTTGGTTCAATATGTAACTTTTCCAAATATTATATGGTATTTCCATTCTTGTTGCAGCTTTTTATCTGCATACACAGTTGTCTACACAATCATGCCAGAATTATGAATAAACTTAAAAATGGGCAAACGGTGTTTTAATTAACTGTATGGTAAACTATCTGCTTAGTACCTGAGCGGAATAAGTATGAAAATGAAATCAACAAAAGAATCTTTGTGAGCATGCTTCAAAGACTCATAACTGCTATAGAAGTCATCTGATAAAATTTCTAGTGGATATGAACATCTACTTGATATTTGTAAATATCTAAAAGGTTATAGTATTTAAAATGAAAAAGGTTTTGCAAAAATATTCTTGTTTTCAATTTATTTGTTATATGGACAATGATGGATACAAATATAAGTGACATCAGTACAGTAAGGCAGTTGTTCTGTGGTATAAAAGTGCAGTAATTAACATTTAATGTTAATTCACACAAATTAAGAAATAAACAAATGAATAATAAATGTTGAGCAATGAAATATAATTTTAGAAATCAATTAGGCCAGATAGGCCTTATAAATTTTGTTCATTTTTTTAACATACTGAATGACCATTTACACTCAGGACTGAGTCGTCAGTAGGCAGTACAGATGTATAAAAAAAATGTAATAAAACTACCAAGCATCATATTGCTAGTAGCACAAGTAGCATTGTTTGGTAAATTCTTGCTTTTTTTTTAATTTGGCTTCTAGACAAAAAATGTTTGGTTCAAATCTAAATAAAATGCTTTTATCTCCCCATTACTACTAACATTGTACATATAATGAATACTACTTTGACAATTCCTTGTGCAGTTGAGAGTTGTCTGTCAAAAATTTATTTCACAAAGAATGAATTGCATAACAATGAACTGAGCTCAAAGCAAATCACTTTAATAATACACTTAGACAAAGAGCTCAATCCAGGGATATACTTTGTACTACAGGTCCTTCATAAACATCCATCCGCCATAACCACATCTCACAAACATGCCATACTACATAGCTGGATTAGAAGTCCTGAAAAAGACATGAATTTTTTTATCATATTTTCAATATATACACCGGTTAAAACTTTCACAAATTTGTGGTTAAATTATTCGGTATCTAGCAAGTAACAATCGCTTCATGTAAAAATTGATAAAGGTTGTCTTGAGTGCCCCTCTGTCGGAAATAAGAACATACATGTACCTCCACCTAATCTTAGTAAACTGGTGAAGAAACATTCAAAACTATAAAATGTTATTAGACTTGTCAGTGTCTATTTACCATCACCACTGAATCAATTAAAAACCTTTGTTAGCACGCTCACATACCCCACGCCCCCACATTGTCACTGGACAAACAAAATCTTACCAGATTCCTAAGTGCAAAGACTCATAACTCTACAAAAGTCAACTGATAAAAATTTTCTTGTGTCTATAAACATTTACATATTATGTCCTCATTAACTACAAAGTTTAATGAGATTCTGTTGTGTGGTTTCAGAGGAGTTGGGATGACAAACTGTTGCAGTAGTATATTGAGGCTAATAAGTTCAAAGGGGCATAACTCCTAGAAAAAAAATTTAATCATAATTTCCTGTCGATATGCACATTAACATATTATGTCCTTATTATCTACAAAGTTTCAGGAAATTCTGTTGTGTGGTTTCAGAGGAGTTGCGATGACAAACTGTTGCAGTAGTATAATGAGGCCAATAAGTTCAAAGGGGCATAACTCCTATAAAAAAAATTGAATCATAATTTCCTGTCGATATGCATTTTTACATAGTATGTCCTTATTATCTACAAAGTTTCATGAAATTCTGTTGTGTGGTTTCAGAGGAGTTGCGATGACAAACTGTTGCAGTAGTATAATGAGGTCAATAAGTTCAAAGGGGAATAACTCCTAGAAAAATAATTGAATCGTAATTTCCTGTCGATATGCACATCTACATAGTATGTCCTTATTATCTACAAAGTTTCATGAAATTCTGTTGTGTGGTTTCAGAGAAGTTGCGATAACAAGAACAGGACGGACAGACGGACGAGTCAAAAACATTATACCCTCCGCAACTTCGTTGCATGGGTATTTCGTTGCGGAGGGTATAATATTATATGTATTCATATATAAGACTAAAATTGACGACCAGTCTTTACTCGACCTTCATTCCTCAAGTCGATGTTCAAATCTGCCTTCATAATAAAATAAGATTCCAAATCTACAACCAATGAAATACCCCTCTTATAGACTAGCCGCAATGAGATCACAGTTTTCTAAAGTGGTAGGTGGAACCTAAAACTCAATAAAATTTTAAACGATATATTTTAAATCTTGCAAATACATGTAATAATAATAATTCTCAATAATTCGCTATATTTTTTCTTATTTTGTCTATTGTTCGAGACTGTATATTGACCTCTAAATGTCTTTCAATTACATCCAGTTTGGCGTTGGGTTGATGTTTGATTCTTGTACATGTAATATATAAATGTGGGATTTGATTATATGAATAACAACTATTCCCTTCAATTCAAATAAAGTGGATGTAAGAAATTATAGGCAACCATACCGCCTTCAAAAATGAGAAAACCCCATACTGTATATTCGGCTGTAAAAGAGCCCAATATGTTTATATTGCGATACAGTTTATATTAGTAAGATTCGAGATTTTTAAAAAAAAACCTTTCAAGACATCAAAAGTATGTGCATTTGTTCTGTTGATGATAGTGGTATAATGACTGGAATGAGATCAAATACATATAGTTCTGCTCAAAAGTTTCATGGTAAACCAGTTGTAGTAGGTTGTTTGAAGTTTGCAGCATATTCAACTTTGAACATCTTTTCAGGTCTGCAATCCATATAAAAATCAGAATATGTGGTATGATTGCCAATGAGACAACTATCCACAGAGGTTCAAATAACAAAGCAATTATAGGCAACCATTACAGCCTTCAAAAATGTGGAAAACAGTCCCGACATGTAAAGTATGCAACAATTCAATTGAGAAAAGTAATGGCCTATTTTACAACTAAAAAACAGGTTGAGAACCCCCCCCCCCCCTAATCCCTCCCCAAATAAGTTGTAAAAAAGGAAAAAAAAAAAGATGTAGCCTTTTTAACTTATAAAGGGGGGAGGGGATTCATTACATTCGGAACAACTTTTCTAAAGGATGGGTCCATATAAAAATTAGAATATGTCGTATGATTGCCAATGAGACAACTATCCACAGAGGTTCAAATGACAAAGCAACTATAGGCAACCATACAGCCTTCAAAAATGAGGAAAACAGTCCCGACATGAACAGTATGCAACAATTCAATTGAGAAAAGTAATGTCTTGATTTACAATTCAACTAATTAACAGGTTGGGAACACCCCCCCCCCCCCCCCCCAAAAAAATGAGGAATATCCCTTATTTTGCTGTTTTAAACAAAGGAAAAAAAGATGTAGCCTTTTTAACTAATAAAGGGAGGAGGGAGGGGGAGCGGATTCATTACCACAGGAACAACTTTTCTAAAGGATGGATCCACTTATTTTCAATAAATAATAAAATTTGAAGTCCATCTCAGGCATCTGGGAACAGACTCAACAGTATTTCTATAATATATATATTCCAAATTGTGGATATATTCCAATGGCAGTCTTTCACGAGTAAATTTCATGTGTATAACGTAACAACCATTTATAGGGCTATATACTGTCCTTTATATTTAGGTCATTTTGACACAGCAAAATATAAAGAAAACGTTAACTATATATAATGTTTCTGTATTAAGAAAGTTTATCAGGATATTGAGGTCTTTTTTCGCAAAAATAAACCCACTAAGTAACATACATTTATAACTTGACTTTGAATGCAAACGACCCCTAAATGGCTAAAAGATATTGGTATATGGAATAGTCCATGACTATTTTTGTATGTGTAGGTCATTTTGACACAGCAAAATATAAAAAAAAAACGTAACTATATATAATGTTTCTGTATTAAGAAAGTTGATCAGGAAATTAAGTTCTTTTTTCGCAAAAGAAAACCACTAAGTAACATACAATTATAACTTGACTTTGAATGCAAACGACCCCTAAATCTCTAAAAGATATTGGTATATGGAATAGACCATGACGATTTTGTTAAGATTTCACGAAATGTACACCGATTCCGTTGATTTTGCCAGTTGAACGGACTAGAATGAATGAGATTAGATATATATATTTAGACCCCTCTAACAAATTTCGTGTTAGAGGGGTCTAAATACAGCACAAACAACATTTTCTGTATTGCTGTATTTAGACCCCTCTACCAAGAAATTTGTTTTGCATGCACACGTATAAAAATTGCGGTTTTTATCCAACGCAATCATAGGTTTGAACGTTGTTTTCAATTTAGACTTGTTTATATTTTTTCGTTTGGGCTTGTATTATATTTGCCTTCGGCTTTATATGATTACGTGTATCCTGTCAACCCCTGAAAAAAAAAATACTGTCTTCTTGACTACTTCCGCGCGCCACTGACTGAAATTTAAATATATTGTTATTAGAGTATGTTAATAATGATATATAAAGACAACACTTATTTAAAATAAATCTTACAGTTCTATACATAGCAGGTCTGTACTCCAAACTACATTATTTTTTTGATAAATTGCCGCACCAATCTAATTTCCATTGTCGTTGGAAACCTGTTCATTTCCAACTCTATTAGCTGCTTGATTTCCTCCTTTAAACAATGGTAATCATAAATTACTTTTTAATGCATTTTTTTATATTGATGAGCATAAGATCGATTACATGTTTATAAATACAACTTAATATGAATGAAATGCTACCGGCATGGTACAGTTAGATACGACCACAAAGGATCGAACCCTGAACAGTTAGGGCAAGTATGGAAACAACATTCATATTTGATACAGCTCTAAATATGGACTATGATAAAATATTTGACACAGCATAGGTTTCTTACACATAATTGATGTGGTCAAATAAATTAAAAAATTGAAATTGGACATGTTATGGTCAAATATCCAAAATTATAATGCATGGTAAGATTCAGCATATAAAAATACCCTAAGAACTTTAAATGTGGACCCTTTGGACCTAAATGTGGACCGATTATATACAGGGCTCAAAAATCAAAATCAACACGGTCGGATTCAGTATATCAAAAAAACTCAATATATTCAGTTTTTCAGAATTACTAATTGTACAGTTATTGTATAATAATAAACAGTACTGAATTAAAAGAAAGTATAACATTACAAGTTTTTAGTCTTGCCGAACAGTACTGATATGTAAGAGGGTAGAAATGTACCCAAAAAACGTTGGTAATTCTTGGTAGTGTAGAGGTCAGGAAACAATGTTCATCAGTAGACAGATGCATTAACAATAAAACATGCTATAAATTGTTCCGAGTCTATAAATGTTGCAGAAACAATCGAATATCTGTCATTAAAAATACATCAAACGACTACAACTGACAAGGTTCCTGACTTAGAACAGGCCCAGTATATAATTTTTAATACTTTATGAGTCCGTAAATATTCAGTCCCCAAAATAAGTGGATGTGAAACTGTTGGGATAATGTAAATATCAATAATTTGCCCCTGGTCATGAATGATAGCTTTTAATTTCGCGGTTCCGAACACTTTTATCTTTTCGTTATTAGCTAGTCTAATTTCAGGATCGGATAATTGTTCAAATGAAATTTTCAGTTTATCAGAAATTGAGTCAAAAAGGTTCTCTGAAATAACATTGATGGAGCTACCTGTGTCTATAAGTGCAGCTACATTCAACTGACCAAAAACAACTTGCATATACATTAATTCTATTGTTAACTGTCTAACTTGAATCTTTTGTTCGTTATCACATGCTTAAGCTCTTTCTACAGGAATAGAATTTGCTCAATTTAAAAACGAAAGCAGAAGTCAATTTGGGTACATGTTCATTTTAAGGAAAGTATAGATGTTTTAAATAAATTTGATATAAATATACTAATCTGCTTAAGATTGGTTTGAATATTTAAAGGTATGATTCATTACTTAAATCTACTTATATAAACAATCATTGAGCGTTCAAGTAAATAAAAAGGGCGACTTTCATCGATGGTTAATTGGGATTTATCTTAACGAATTCAAGTTTGTCGACATAGTTTACACTTGCAAATTCAGTACAGACATTATTTGCACCTGGAAAAGTTTAGGACAAGGATTTAGATCTTTAAAAGTTATATGAATTTCGTTTTTCAGAAAATTAAAAGTTATTTCATATTTATGTATTTTTCAACCAAACAGAAGATGGTTAAAATAAACAAATACCTGAGTTAAATTTGACATTGTTCATTCAGTAACACTGTTTAAATCACCTGTTGTTGTGCATTTATTTATCATACATCTATTGCCCTTGAATCAATACTTGACATTAATAGTGTAAAGACTTGACAAAATGACGAAATAAGGATATTAAAAGGGGGAAAAGGATCGGCTCACATTATTTTCTGCGTTTCGTGCAGTATCATAATATCATTATTACGTCAATTCATCACACTATTGTTGTCTTTAATCTAAATGTAATCTAAAACAATTGTATACACAATTTGTGCTTTCATTTTGTTTCTAAAAATATTTCTAAAATTGCTTACAAAGGATCACCCTAGAAAAGACCTCTTATTTTGTCGGAGTAAAATTTTTACGTTTCAAAATGTGATGTTGAAATCATTCAATCCACTCAGTTGGGTGAACAAGTGCATCAGATTATAGAATAAGAATATAAAAAAAAAGAGAACCAATTATCAGATTATACAACTTTATCAAATAATAAGAACAAGAACATAAATGTTCGTATAATTTATGTACTAACAAAGTGGAGAGAAATGTTATATCGTGGACGCTGGCGGGAGTATGTACATTTCATTGTGGATTTTAAAGTGGTAGCTGTTGCCTAACTCAATATACGGTCCGTGGCTGTATGTCACTTAAAAATATATTGTCAGCTCATTTTGATTGCTCAAATAGAAAGATTGCATTATAAAAACAATGCAACTATTACAAATGTATTAGACCTTTTCAATTATGTTTTAAATTCTATTGACAAGGGAGACAAATATCTCCATCCTACATGTATGTCAATTAATTTAGGCCTAGGGTGAACCCATAATGTACTAATTACATTAAAGTTTTTTTAATTTTTAATTCATCAATTTGATGTTCAACCTAATTTTGTATTCAATAAGAATATAATTATATTTTCGACACTTTCGCTTCACATTTTCAGAATTACTGTTAAATGACGTAATTTTTTTCCCAATTTTTTACAATTTACAGCAATAATGTGGATTGTTGGGCATCATTTTGATCAACGCTCAATCAGTTCATGATGAATACCTTAGGACTAACGATAGGAGTATTATTATCAAGGGATAACAAATTTAACCACTGGTTGGGTCAGTAGCAAGGCCCTGTTCAAAAGACTATGTAATGACAACAGGCTCTCTAGTAAAGAGATTTTCGGGGTAATTTAAAAATAATCATCCTGGCTTGTTCAGTGCTGGAAATAAATAAATAAATAATAAATAAGTCGGATGAAAATAAATATTCTGCACCACAAAATTAAAGAATCAGTAATGTACAAAAAGAAAATATTTTTTCGCGCGGAAAAAAATAAGCATGCATATCAACAGATGAAAATGAATAGTCAAATGAAAAATCCTCTTGTCCGAATATCAAATGGTCATCACCTAACACATGAGTTGTGAGAAAAAAAACTTTATACACAAGAACTTCTGAAATATTGCTACTTAGAAACGGAACGTTGATTCTAAATTGTTTCCAATCCATAAAAAGGAAACCCCTCAACATTATCAAGCCTTAGGGTACCATGTAGCGGAGCATTACCTCTCAACTAAAATAGCGATATGATCTTGTCTTTTGATCTAAAAAATAGTCTTCTAGACTTCCTTAATTTGAATGTGTAAATTAAGTGTGGTAAAGATCAGTTTAGTAACACACGCTCTAGATCGTCCATAAGTGTGTAAAAGTCAGACGGCTGGACAGTTGCGAGGGAATAATAAAATGTAGAGAAATGAAAAGGGCTGTTCTAACACTAATTAATCTTTATTGGAAGGGATGCAGACTTACATTGATTCTGATATGCATTAATTGCAAATAAGTTTTCTCGATAACCGTTCCTTTTCTGTATAGTGTAATACATACCGTTACATCAAATGTGTTTATGTATTGGTACATGCATTCCTAAATGATTGTTATCTTTGATACAACCTCTCCATGTCACCTGTAAACGGTTAATCTCATTAGTCGGTGTCGAGAATTATTGCAAAGGTCATTAGTAAACAAAAGACCCATCAGTGACGAAGCAGTGGTCCTTCGTACCTTAAAACCTCCTGCCGGCCTTTGATTGAGTAGCTAGACAGACGAGAGAGAGAAACAAGCTAGGATAGTGTTATCTCCTGGAAAACTTGTTTATAGTAAGGTTAATATTGATGACTCGATTATTCTCAACCTTGTATTGTTTTATTTTTGAATCAGTGCAGTTTGAATTCAACAAATGTACTAAGGAACGTTGTGATGCTTTGACATTTTGGATGAGTTTAAGTCTATGTTTTATTTACGTTCCTTTTGGGATGCGTTGTGGTTTTATACTGTAAGTGGTTTTGATTGATATCATTAACAAATCTAAAAGTGATTTACGCCAGAAAGAATAGACTATTTAAGGAACATTTGCAAAAATCGGAAATCAATTTTCCTGATACAAATATTTGAATATAAAAATACGGAGATGTGGTATACTTGCCAATGATACAACTTTCCATTAGAGTTCAAATGAAGTGGATAAAGGCAATTTTAAGCCACAAAAGATGAGAAAGACCCATATCGTATTGTCGGTTATAAAAAAAAAAACAAACAAAATACCTATCTCCAATGAAAATTCAAAACGGAAAGTCCCTTGTCAAATGGCCAAATCGAAAGCTCAAACACATCAAACCAATGGAAACAACTGTCATATTCCTGACATGCTATAGGCATTTCCTTGTGTAGAAAATTGTCGATTAAACCTGTTTTTATAGCTAGCTAAACCTCTCACTTGTATGACAGTCGCATAAAATGTCTGCATAAAAATAACGGTCCCGAAATGAAAAATGTGAAACAATTCAAGTGAGAAAACTAACGGCCTAATTTATTACAAAACAATTCACGAAAATCAAATATGACGAGCATGAACCAACGACAACCACTAAACTTCAGACTCCTGGCTTGGAACGACAGGCCCATAAAGAATTCGGCGTGTTAAACGTGGCTGTGAGCATTCAAACCTCCCCTAACCTGGGACAGTGGTGGAATAGCACAACATAAGAACAAACTGAAAAAAACAGTTGCAATTGGCTTAGCTCAAACTGCATTTTTGACAGATTTTGGCAATTTTTTAGAATTTGATAAAAATATTTATAACAGAAACTAGAATTATGTTGGAAATAAACATCATTTAGGTATCTATTATCTTTTAAATAGAAATTATTTTATTTTGGTTTGAGACATTTTTCAATGATCAAGTTAGCAAAAACATTTAAAATTTGTAAGTATTCCTACCGAAGGTCTCTCGTTCTATCCAGGTACTCTGACAGCCTTCTCCACCAGCAAAAAAATGGTACCATGATATAGCCAATTGGGCTGAAAGAAGCGTTCATTAATGACAATCAAATCATTTTGGTCACCATCAGTTTCATGTTTGCACTGAGAATAGTTTTGAGTATTTTGGACGCTATCTAAAATTCACATTTTACTGAGCTACATACATCAGATAAGGCTAAGTATTTAGTTTTTTTTTCAGTGTGAATAAACGAAAATTGCTAAGAGTACTTCAATTGAACAGTTTATAATGACTTAATAGTTTACCCGTCAATATTATGTTTGTTTTTGTATCTAGAACATCACTTCAGACTCGGACAAGGCGAACGAGTTGGGAAATAAACACGATTAAAGAAGGGACCAAAGGATCACCACCGTCTAGGAAAAAAAATAACAATAGGGAACAAAAAATCTTCTCTTTTGTACAATTTTTCCCATGTGAAACTGACATATCAAAATCTAAAAAAGAGGAAAAATTTTGCTGTTTATTTATCCCCTATTTAAAGAAAGATCCTTTGGAGAGAGAGAGAGAGAGATCATGAAAAAAGTATCAGCTCTCTACTTTTCCTAAAATGAAAAACTTTGTTGTCCGCTTTGCATCATAAGATATCACAAGAAATGTGATTTGTTAACAATTGATGAAATCGTCAAAACGTCGAAGACTTCCGCATTATTTGACATTATGGAACAAAGTTCAAAAGATATGAAGAACAACATAGAAAGAATAGTCAAAGACCGGGGGCAGGTCAAAATTTGGCTGAAATTCAACAACAGCGACAGAGATTCCTGACAGAAATAAAAGAGATTCGTAATAGAATAAATAAACATCTAGATGAACTTGAAAATGAAATACAACAGGACATCCACGCAGCGGAACAAAAAGTCTAAACACAAATTGAAAGACTTTTTTGAAAAGTTTCAGACCTTGAGAAATCACTAGATGAGCTACAGAAGAAATTTTAGCAACGAAAAGTTTTGCAATTGACCTTCAAACATTTTTTAGTGGTAAAATGTTTGAGGCCGAGATCCAAAAGGAAGAGAAGTTTATACAGTCTTTGATAGAAGATGGAAGCTTACAACAAATAAACCTTAAATGCAAAATTGATGACAAGATGTCTGACTTACTCTCCATGACAACGATTGGAGAGATATCAGTCATAACTAATCCGCGCACTATTACCATGACGACATAAACAAATAAACAAACAAACAATATCAAAAAGCAATCAATGACATCAATCTTACCTTATTAAAAAGATTTGAGATAAGGGATAGAGGAACTGGAATCACGGGTTGTACTATCATGCCTTCTGCGAAAATGGTCTTTGTAGATATAAAAAAGTAATCGTATAGTAATCCACAATGAAAATGGATTATTAGATTGTGAAATACCTGTATCACATAGTCCTATAGATGTTACATATATTGATGAAAACACGGTCGCTGTCACCCATAATATAGAACCTTATCATATAGAAATTATCAACATCGACAATAAAAAGATTGTTTAAAGGGTTTAAACGTCCAATATCTGCTACGGCATTACAAATAGAAAAGGAAGATTGATATATTATGAACTACATAGAGGTATTCAAACAGCAGACGTCACTAATGAAAGTACTGCCTCCACAGTAGTTAAAGTCAATAACGGACATTACTGGAACTATGTTACAACATCATAGGACAAGATATACCATACAACCTATGAATCAGATACCGTCATTTGCTACACAATCACAGTACAGAGGGTTTGGGAATACAAAGACAAATCACTTTTGAGATCGAATCATGGAGTATTTGTTGATAACGATTCCAATGTGTACGTGGTATCCTTTGATAATAACAGTATCGTCGTGCTTTCACCAGATGGAAAGGACGCCCGTCAATTGTTAGGAGAAGAAAGTGGAATTGAAAGCCGTTTTGGTATTAATTTTGACCAATGGAGAAACATACTACTAGTTACTAACGTGGGGGAACAGCATTTTTGTAAAACATTAAATGAACTTTTTAAAAGTTTTTATAGGCTAAAAATACAGAAATCAAATCGTTTGAAAAGTCTGTAGACTTTTAAAGCATTAATTTGCATCTCTGTCCCCGGCGATAGTTGTTGCGGAAAAATCCTATGAATGGGCAATAATTTCATCAAAAAGAAAGTTTTTATGTTCAGGCGTGTTAGATATGACTATTTTGTCTTGAAAACGTATAAAGCAAAAATATTTGATACATCATCTCGCTTCAGATTCTTTTATTTTGTTTTATATATTTAGGCCACAGGTTGATATTATAACATTAAGAATTCACTGTACTAAAATATTAAATAGATGGGTCAAGTGAAATACCTTTCTAATGAGTAAAAACAACAGAATAGGTGTGTTTGAATAACACATTTTTACTTAAAAGTACTTGACGACAGACTTTACAAGTGATTCTTTAAAATGCATAACTTCAATGTGTTATCTAGGGTTATTAATCTTCAACTTCTGAAATTCAATAGTTTCCCCTGCCACGAAATATTTAAATAGATTTTTTTTTAATGTTTTTAGATTTTCGAAAATTTTCCCTGATAGCCGATCAGACAATAGTTTAAAGTTGACTAAAGGCATACAAGTACATTAAATGACGCTCAATAGCTAGTAGACACATTTGTCTGTTAAAATACAACTGGCATATGAGGATCGGAATGATGCTTTGTGGAAAAATTTATCGGTTTTTAAGAGCTAAATTGACAGCGTCAGGTCCGTGTATATTTGCGTCCATTCGTTTTTCATTTTGAAATATCAAAAACAAAAAACAAAAAACGAAAGTGTTTTTGTTTTTCGTTTTAGATTTCTCAAAAACCAAAACGAAAAACAAAAGTGTTTTCATTTTTCGTTTTTGATTTCTCTAAAACCAAAACGGAAAACGAAAGTGTTTTCATTTTTTGTTTTTGATTTCTCTAAAACCAAAATGAAAATCAAAAGTGTTTCCGTTTTTCGTTTTTTGTTTTTGATATTTCAAAATGAAAAACGAATGGACACAAATATACACGGACCGCGTCATCCCTACAATTGCTTCCATTTTTACGATTGTAAAATTTAGGTGGCGTAATGGGGAGATAATTTTGACGAAGTAGAATCCTGACTGCTACATTTATATTTATTTATATATTTACCCGGTTTATATTCAATTTTAAATTGATTTTACTTAATAAACATTTAATTTCCTCTGAATTGAATAGAATACCTCAAACTATCTTTTGTATTTGTGTCGTTAGACGGACGTCCTTTCCGTCTGCTTTTGTTCATAATTGACGAAGTACTTTCATTTCATAAATCAAAGTGAACGATTACTAAGTTTATGTAATCTATCGAATTGAACTTTAAATACAGTTAGCAACAGATGCAAAAAAGCCCACATCAAGCCTTGACTTGCGTACACGTATAAATCAAGAGTGAAGGTCAAGATTTCTTTTTCATTCAGTTGAAGTCATTTCTTCAATTAAGTTTTACCGAGAGTAAGGGTCCAGGGTGGTTCTTAATTCTATTGTCATTTCTTTAATTTAGTTTTAAAGACGCAACCATGACTAAGTTTACAAAAAAGCCAACAAAATGTCATATTTGTTATAGCCGCAACCATGTCTTCCTTCCTCGTTCATTGTACTTGTATACTTTTATATAA